TATAGTGTATATATATATATAATGATCTATATATATATATATAATAATCAAAATACATAATATGAATTCATAAAACTAATAATAATATATTTATCATTATCACTTGATATTTCTAATATACCATTACTATTATCTGATATATTAAATTGTTCATTATCATTATCATTCTGATATTCACTTTTATTATTATCCTGATATTTACTTTTATCACTTTCATTATCAGCATAATATTAATTGATACTTATTTTATCATTAATTTTTTTTGATTATCTAGAGAAGTTTGTAATTTATAATTACTATAAATATAAACTAATTTAAAAACATGCTTATTACTTAACTAATTTCTTTTTTTAATATGAAATATTTGCAAAAGCTGACCAGTTATATTCAGAAACTGCAGATAATATTGAAATTATTAAGATATATTGTACTAATTATGTTAATTTAGATATTACTTGTGTAAAATTCACAATTATCAAGTAATTAAATTAATATTATTAATGTACTTTCATATTAATATATTATTAAAAAGATCTGATTTTGCTTTGTATTGCATAAATTGACTTTCAAGCAAATTAATATTGAGTAAACTTGTATTAATAATTCTGAATTTTTAAAGCTTATATCAAAAAATAATTATTTAATTTTAATAAAAATATTTGAATATATACACAGATATAACTTATATCAAATTACTGAATTATTATATTAATATTTAGAATTTTTATAGTATTTACATTCTGTATACTATTATTAAAATTCAGTAATATGATCAATTTAATTAAATATTTCTATATAGAATTTTAATAATAAAGATATAGATATTTATGATTATTATTATATATATATTCTGTATTAATATAAATATATTTGTTTATTATTATTTATTAAGTATAAATATCTTAATTAGTAATAATTTATGAACTTAATTATATGTATAATTATATATAGATATTTATAATATTAATTAGTAACTATATATATAATACATATTTATATGTGTGAATATATACATACATAATATGCATAGATATATTTCTAATCATAATCTCATAAATATCTTAAAATTGTTAGTTAAAATACTATTTTATTTAATTTTATTATCAAATTTCTTGTTGATATAGAAGAATTTTTTTGGATTTGTCATCTAATATTTCTTATGAAATTATTTTCAGATAATCTATCTCTTTTAATTATGCTACTTTTTCAATTTTTCCAAGCTTTTTTAAATTATAATAGATAGTAAATATTGATATTTTTATTGCTATATATATTTTTTTGACAGAATATATATTTCAGTTCCAATAAGATAAGATCATTTATTATTAGTCATGGAAGGTGATAACAATTATTTCAATTTAGAGACTTATTACAAAGAGAAGAATTAAAGAATTAAGAATCTGTGAGAATTTAATAGATTATTTATTCTCTTATTCATCTATTTTTTATAGTATATTTTATTTTAATTTTGATTATTTCATATATAATTATTGATAATAATTATTCTTCAAATAATTTTGAATTATACTATATATAAAAATTTGGTCATTATAAGAATATTTCATTATAAAAAAATGTTATGTACTTGTAGTATTGTGTACTTCTGGAAATTAGTGAATTTAGAGGCAAATATAGCAAAGCAAGAATATAATTAAAGAATTTCTTTATTTTTTAAGATTTCCTGTAATAATCTGTATGCATATTAACCTTTACAAATATTTGTTTAATAGAGATATAAAGGAGTTTTCTGATTACCAGCAGTAAAAAGAGTTTACAAAGGGATTTTGAGAAGGTTTTTAATTACTTATAACTAGAAATAGGCAAATATATGTATAATATATTATTATATATACTATATGCACTATATGCATAGTATGCATATGCATATAATGATCTATATATACATATATAGTAATCAAATATATAATGTGAATTCATAAAACTAATAATAATTTTTTCTATAACTATTATAATTATCACTTGATATTTCTAATATATCATCACTATTATCTAATATATTAAATTGTTCATTATCATTACCATCCTAATATTTACTTTTATTATTATCCTGATATTTGTTTTCATCACTCTTATTACCAGCATAATATTAATTAATACTTATTTCATCATTAATGTTTTTTTTGACAATTTTTTTTGATTATCTGAAGGAGTTTGTAATTTATAATTACTATAAATATAAACTAATTTAAAACATGCTTACTACTTAACCAATTTCTTTTTTTGTTATGAAATATTTGCAAAAGCTAACCAGTTATACAGATGATGTTGAAATTGTTAAAATTGTTAGATACATTATGCTAATTGTGTTAATTCAGGTACTGCTTGTGCAAAATTTGCAATCTATCAAGTAATTGGATCAATATTATCAATGCATTTCCATGCTAATGTATTACTGAAAAGATTGGATTTTGCTTTGTATTGCATAAGTTGACTTCCTGGCAAATTGGCATTGAGTGAACTTGTATTAGCAATTTCTGGATTTTCACCAAAAAATGATCATTTAACTTTAATTGAGGTATTTGGACATACATGCAGATGTGACTTGCACTGAATTACTGAATTATTGCATTGATATTTGGGATTTTCACAGTATTTACATTCTGCATGTTGTTGTTGAAATCTAGCAATATGACCAATTTGATTAAATATTCCCATATAGAACTTCAACAATAAAGATGTAGATATTTATGATTATCATTATACGTATGTTATGTATCGGTATAAATGCATTTGTTTATCATTATTTATTGAGTACAAATGCCTTAATTGATGATGATTTATGAACTTAACCATATGCATAATTGTGTATGGGCATTTACGATATCAGTTAGTAGCTATGCGCATAATGCGCATAGGCACATCTCTACCTACAACACAATAACGCACGCCACAAATGTTATTTCAGGAGTAACAACTCAGTTGATTTCAATTAACCAAAAAACTACAATGTTCAAAATCGGAGGTTGGACTTAGTTTCAAATATGGAGTCTTTAGATTGAAGATCATTTACTACTTTGTACACGAGGTTTGAAGATAACCAAATAAAGGGAAAAATGATTATTATATGCAAAGAAATAATTACAGGAAAGAATTTATTTTTATTTATTTGATTAGAGCATATCTCTCAAAGGCTAATATCTTGCCTATATATATACAAATTAAATCGTTACTATATCCATCTTTTCAAGATTGTATCTAAATATTAGATTCGCGGACAATACAGTTGACAATAATAAGGGTGTTGGATAGAATAATGTCAAGGAACATTGATCTAGAGTCCTAAATATTACTAAAGCTACACGTTTGACTAAGAATGGATAGTCGTAACAAAATAAAAATAAAAATAAATAAAAAATAATATGAATAAACTTACGAACCGGTGTTTGATGCCAGTCCAAGAATTGTGGCAATGTAATTACATAGGAAATTATGAACGCACAATCTCAAAGTTATTACAGTAATGATACTGATAACAGATGCTGAGTTGTTGATTGAGAGTTGTTATTTAATTAATACGAAGATCAAAATAGTGGTAAGACTCATATGCTTATTGATATAAATTACATCAGATATTTAAACTGAATTAGTTATATTCAGAATGATTGTTTTAGTATTATGCATCAAATATATTTCCTTAAAAAGTGATCGCAAAAAGTCCCAAACCATATCGAAAAAAAAATTTATTTTCAAAATCGGTTTGAACCTAACGATATACATGTACCAAGAGTAAATAATTTTTCTCCCAAAAAAGCACAGTGATTATATTTGAGGATTTTATGCAATGCTTTTGAAAAGGTCCAAAGCAATTATTCCTTACTGTATCAATGCCGTCATTTCAATGTCAGCTTAATTTATGTAACAAATCCTTTTTCGATGTCCCTGTAATAATAAGTAAAATCTTACTCTTTAATGGGAGCTGTAATGCGGATGATCTTTCCAAAATTCTTCGTATATATCGATATATTTCATTTAGGTGTTTATCTATTCTAAATATGGGTGAAACAAGGTGTGTAACTGTAAAGTTTTTGGTGAAAAATTAGCCTATATTTTTGCCGTCGGATTTATCGCAGTGTAACCCTCGATATTTACTCATGCTTTATGTCGATTTTTGACCAGGAAAACTCACCTTGTTTGACCAGTGTTTATGTCTGGATTATTGTGGCTTTGGCCATGTGTTTAATTGTCACGACTTTCCCTATGACCTTAGCTTTTTGGTTGTAACTTGCCCTATTGCCGCGTTCCTTTTTGTTGTGTCTTTCCTTGCTGCTCTCGTCTTTTTGATGGTCTGGTACATCTATTTTTGGACATTCATAGTACCTTTAACAGTAATTGGAAATAACTGGACCATTTTGGGGTATAGAAGCATTTGGGTCTTCATAGAAGGAATTTTTCGGACACAAAATTTTAAAGGAAGTATCATTTGAAGGAGGCGGCGGAGAATGGCCATTTTCTCAGTTAGGTTGGTGATTTTCAAACCAATATCGGTGTGGAAAATGGCTAAAAATCGAACAGCTAACAAACGATATATGAGCAGGATTACGCATAATTGGACGGCGAATAGGATTACAAACAATGTACAAATAATTCAACTTAAAGGTTTGATTATACTTCATTTTGAATGTATTTATCGGATTCCACACATTAACAATTACTTATTCAAATATAATGTTTCAATAAGAAAATACTGTCGGAAAACATAAATTAGCTTTTTTAGAAGTGAAGCAAAAGGTAAAACTGAAATTATTAACCGCATGGGCTATCAACATTAGACATTGCACTAGATGAAAATCGAAAATTATTAAACCAATTTATCAATAAATTTCATAGTTATTGACTCTAAATGTTTGCTCGTTATTAGTTTGAAATTAAATATTCATATTTAAATTGTGAAAGTTTATAGTACTTTATTATGAAAAAATGTGTAAATAAATTGGTCCATAAAAATGGCATAGGAAATCTTGATTAAACACTGATATATTCTAATCGCCATATTCGCTCCAGTTTATATTATATTCGGAAGGGTCTTGATCTTCGCGATAAGTCCATGACATAAGAGAATCAACTTTGATTTGACAATCTTGGTGTTTCTCGTTCCACTATGCAACGAATTTTTCAGGAGTAGTAAGCCCTTTCGACTTAAGGTCGAACAATACGGATGCTGTGCTTAATTGTTAACGCCTTGTACTCTTTAGAGTCACTATAGTCGTCATCAGGCGAGTAGTTAGATAAATCATCCTCTAAAAAAATTTCAATGAATTAAATATTCAATAATACTTGGAAAAAAGCGGTGTCCTCAAAACCTTGTATCTGCTGCTTTTTAGTTGAAGGATTTTGTCCCATTATTAAAAAAATAATGAATGCAAAATAAACCTGTGCATGCGTACATTATTTATATCGATATTACACCCTTCGATCATATGATAGTAATGTTACGTCATTTCCTTATTGTTATACATGTAATAAGCGATTTTTTACGTGAATAATATCCCTGATACAATGAAGATACATTAGTTAAGGTTTTAGCATATTTTAAATCTCCATTGAAATTCCGACCAATTAAATTATAAGCATGTGATGTAAATCACAAGAATAAAACTAAGTTATTTTATTACACTTAAATATAACAATTTATTTAAAGAAGTTAAGGATACAAAAAGTTAAGGACATGTAATCGCAGTAAAATAAAAACAAGCGCAATTAAGTTACATTCATTTACAAGCCACCTTTTTCCCATTCACGAGTTTCCGATAAAATAGTCTCAACTTTTCTATTTTTATTCTTTTCACTGCTAATACGTGTTCTGCTTTTTCTAATTCCTATTCCTCTTTAAATTCCTTCATAACAATTTCCAAATAAGACGTAGCTACAGCTGTCGTCCATACTAAATCGTCATTTTTCTTGGAATCATGTCCGGAAAACAAGCTCGAGAATTTGGAACTTTTTGCAACGAATTTTCCATCGGATAATTGATTTTTTAAAAAACCATATTTAATGTTTAAATAGTTGGTACTTTTATATCAAATGATGGTGACAGTTCTTGCTTTTGTGTTTGCAAAATCTTCTTCTTCCTCTGAATTCTCTTTATCTGATTCTATTGACGCGTTCGCTACCGATCTTAGTGTTTTTTGCTCCTATCAGAATTTATTAATAGATAATAATTTATGAAAACATTGATTAATTCAATAAAAGAAGCTCTAAACTCACTTTTACGACTAACTGAAGATTTCGTTGGAGCATAGTGAAAGATAGATTTCGATCTGTTTGGAGCAAATTGATAGCTAATCGAAGATCTGGTCACAAACCCCTCCCTCTTAGTTGTCTCGGTACTACTCTTTTTTTGTTTAAGAGTCTCACTTCTGAGAAAACTAAAATGTTAAGTACTAAAAATATTAATACAAAAAGTAAATGTTTATGAAATCACATGTACTTTAGTTAAAAGAAATACCTAGTACATGTATTTTTTGATGCAAGACTGAAAGTAATAACTGAAAATCATATTAATACAGTAAGTATGTTTTACATAAAATGTAACGATTTTATCTAAATTAATGATTTGTTCTTTAACAAGATCATCAGGAACTTTATCTTTTTCTATTGGAATCCACATGCAGATTTGAAATCCTAAATTAATCTCTGAGCAGCCAAGGTATGTATTTTCGATCCCAAAGAGTTACTGGATCTACTTTAACATTAAGTTTAATTGGGCCATCCAAGGATTGTGCTGAAAGAGTTATCGCGTTTTTAGGTTTGACGTCTTTTGCTAGAAACACGTAAAATATTACACGCACACCCAAATATATAGCAGGAATGGAATTGGGAGCTTGACAAAACTTAATTACATTTTTTTCCGAAGAATTCCAAGGAATTGGAATAATCGATGTTGGCATATTGTCGTCAATCCATTTAACGCATTTTTAATTGCATTCTTGACCATTCCAATAACTTTTTTATCCACTCGTTCTTCATCGGTGACAAATTGTGAGTAACCTTTCCCAGCTCGAGCAACTGACTCTCTAAATGATGTGAAACGTAGGATCCAATTCCTAAAGAGAAAAGTCGAAAATTAGTTTTCTGAACCAGTTGGATTATTTGTCAACTTTCCGTATTTTACCATCTGTTAATAAGAAAACAGAGATTGACATATCATTACGAGTATTCTTAACTGACCATTTGAGAACATTTTTTATTTCTGTTCCTCCATAATCAGCTTGAATGTTTTCAATATGAGGCAAAGCAGCTTTAAATAAGGATCAAAATTACTTCCAAAAGAAATGATATTGAAAAGACAATTTTGGGAAACGAGTGACGACTCAATTGTAAAGCTTGTGATGCTCTACGAATAGGACCACCAGACATTGAACCTGACCTAGAATTTATTTCAGAAAATTATATTCGCATAATCGTATAATTCACATGAAATTCACTAAATAATACCTACAAATATCATTTCGTTCATCTTTACAACACTGTGAAAAATTTGAAACCAGTGTCAACATGATAGCATTTGTTTCTGTTTTTGGATTATACTCGATAAATGCTCTGTAGCATGAAAAGGAACGATACATGTATTTAGTTTTTTCTATGGTGTATCTCACCTATAAACCGCAAAAATATTATGTAACTTTAAATACTTATAAATCAGGAAAAATTAATAAAATACAAAATTAAATCGATAAAATTACAGAATACATGCATATGACATGTACATATAAATAGATTACTGTAATAGTGTTACGCACGCACTAATAAACTACATGTAGAATAATTTATTATTAACGGATCTCTTTAATATTCTAAAGGTTTCCTGGTTGTATGCAAATCAACCTTAACAAACGAAATTTCTAATAATAAAATGTAATTCGAGGAGGTTTCTAATGAGCAACAGTAAAAAGACTAATTAACAAGACTTATAGACGATTCAAATTATTTAATTAACCAAAAACTAAAGTGTTCAACAATCATTGGCCTGAATCAAGCTTAATGCGGACCGTCATTCGAAATAACGTTATTTCGCGAGCATACGGTATGTTTATAAACGAAATCCGAAAGAAAGGCATACCGAATGCACGAAATCCTGAAATTATAACATCTCAAATGCACGGAATGTTAAAATCATTGCGATACCGGGCTTTCGTGCATTCGGATTTCGTTAGTTCAGAATTTCGTGTGTTCGGATACCGTACATTCGGAATTTAGTTTGTTGGGCATATCATAATATATCAAGCTTAGTAATGTATTTGATATTGTCCAGCTCACATAATAATATCGAAAACGAATTTCTCAGAAAATATTGATATTATAATAATCTAAGGATAAATATATGTATGACTAGTTTTTCAGTCACATTATAATTTCACGTGACTATCACAACATTTTATTCATAAATCTTATGAAAAACGAACTAAAAGTCAAAAATTATCAATTATTCCTAATTACTTTAAGTACTTTATTTTCGATTTCTTTTTTTATGCAGTTCACAGCCATCTCTATATACAAGAAAAAATTGACGTAAATTCTGAAAGGATTTATAACCATTTTATGGTAAGCCAAGACTTTAATTTTGACAATATTACATGATAATCTAACGCCGACAGTCTTATAATTCATTTTTTAATGAGGATGAATCGAGAGTTCATCTGATCAAACCAAATTTCATCTCTATTTTGTTGACAGTTTCTTGGTTTCAGCTTTGTTCGCGCTGGTGATTTTCTGCTATATTTTTGATCGTTGACAGCTCTTTTAACTTCTTTACTGTACAATAATATCATCGTTGTTTTTAGTTGCATCACTTCAGTTGATATTTCTCAAACTATGAATCTTGTCAGCAAGCATTTTTTTAGTTAAATCGGAATTGCTAAATCTCGCAAAAATTGGAACAGCATTTTTGTTTGGATTGATATGATTGCATTGACTGGGTCTGGTAACTTACAAAATGTTATACTGTATTTCATGGATCCAAATCGATATTTATGTTTGTGTGAATTTACATTTGTTATTGTTTGAACCATATGTGAATTTCCATTTGTAAAATTCTTGAGGATTTTATGTAAATAAATTGGTTGATATCCTATGTGATTTATACATTGTGATGTGGTTCGTTATTTCACAGCAAATTGAATTTAGTGCAAATTAATGAGGAAGAAATAGAAGACTGTATGCTTGATATAATAGAATGTTTCTTTTCATTTATCTGCATTCAATGAATTCCTACATTTCAACTTTTTTAAACCTTATATGGTGCCATCATCCACCTCAACAAATTTTAATCCACTAATCATCGAAGGACGCAGTCATGTGATCACGCAATTTTAGGTTAGATAGGGTTAGTGACTAGTTTTTACCTTGATGCTGTGATAACAAAATTCCGAATCCCAAATCCCGACATGCCGCGAATTCTGAATTTGCTTTAATATCGACATTAAATTTACAAAATATTAAAACCTTATTGATGTATGTTAACAAAGTTTTATTTCATAATACAGTCAACTCTTGATGCTTCAAGACCTCGTTAAACCGTAAACTCAAGGGAATACTAATAGTTATCGGTAAATTAAGCGCAGTTTCAATATGGTGATAAGGGAGAAAGGAACGTTAATTA